GTTATTCTTTGTGAAACCTGTAAATTACACAGGATTCTTAAATATACCCCGTTCATCCAAGAATTGCAGTAGAATCCATCTCAATTAAACCGATCTAATTCGAATCGATATCACAAGCACGCTGTAATCTACGCGTTGCGATGCAAATTTTTAACAACGACATTCGTCCATCTTGTTGATTGAGATTACAGGCTACTGGATTTTTTTTTTACTCGTTTTAATAACTGCAGGCGAATGACACTGAAGGATGAATAGGAATTTTTAATTAAAAGCTCCTTCATCCGCTTTTTCTCTCCTTCCCTCTTTTTCTCCCACCCGCGCATATATCGACTGATTTTAATAATATTCTTTATCGACAGGAAACAATTGTTCGTACAATTATGTTTTATAACTTTACTCGCGCCGCGAGCCTCTTATTTTATTTCATATCCAACATTCAATATATCGGTGTTCGCGACTATATTAATTCGATATTATTTCCATAGTGATTATTAATCAATTTGATTCATCTTACGATAATATACAAATATACAGAGTGTTCTAACAATTGCACAAAGAATATTGTATCTCGGATGCTAATTGGATTAATAAATCGGATTAATCCCTACTTTATGAACAAATCCGAATCAGTTTCACGCGCAAGTCATAAATTATTACGTTGAAAAATAATTAACCCTAATATTAATTCTAATATGCGTAAACACAGTATTAAACTTTAAAACGTTTCGACAAAATTATAAGAATAATTACAGTAATTTCAACGTAATAATTTATAACTCACAACAAGAATCAAGTCACACGCACGTTTTGATTTCAGAGTACGTTTTTTCCTATCAATGGTTGCTAGATCGCTAACATTTCTGTGTTATCTCGAAACATTTTATAATTTTTACTACTCATTAAGTCTAATAGTTACAGCTCCTTCATGTAGAGACCAAAAACTAATTTCCATTGAAGTTATTTCCATTGCATTCACCCGTTTGAGTAGCATACGATCAATCGACCGATTAGAAGAGACTCTTTTGCGAAAAGCAACTGCGAATGCAAGTGTGTATTTTTCATTCTAGCCATCAGGAATAGCCGCGCGGATCACAATATGTTCTAAGTTGTATTGCACGTGGGAATTTTTCGCGTCATGCTACACGGTAGACAAGGTCTGCATGGAGTTAACCGTGTTGTGCAAAAATTATCGTTAACCTTCAAGCTGACACTTGTCTCTTATTATGCTTGGTTGTCTGATCGATTCTCTTTAAAGCCCGCGGCACATGTACGTGTCGAGGTCAGTTCCCTTACCCGATACGAACTTGCAAGTTGCAGCATGTGTATTTTGGAACGGTCCAGGAAATATGGTTGATTAATTTAAGTTGAACATGAAGATCTATATCGTTTTAGATACAAACTTCAATCTATTTCTATTAATCAGTAGTTCGCTAATTTGTTTTCAAGATCAATTTCTCTCTCTAAAAGAAAAAGGACAAACTTTTGAACGTATATCTTCTTTCAAGCATAGATATAAACACTTTTATTACTCATTATTGAACACGTAACTCTCTCAAGGTAGATATAAATAACTTTCAGTGTTGTTTCATCTATTATATAAAGAAATATTAAAAGCTGGAAGATTTTTAATTTCTCTAGAGTCTGTGCGCGGAAGGATTAGTTATTGTAGTGAAAATAAAAACTGAAATGCTGCAAATTACAGCGCAAACCGCGAGAAATATTGTGGAATTATCGGAAACGGATAACCAAACAATTACGGTGCAATCTGTAACGTATATGGTACCAGCGTGCAGTGAAGCATTTACAGCAGCACATACGAAAGGATAAATCAAGAACAAGACACAATAGGTGTACCGCGGGCTTAATGATCGTTTCAGCCGTTTGGAACAGATCATGCCGAAATATATACAGCGTACGTCGGTAATTCTGTGCATTATGGTAAGGCTTCTCAAGATGCATTCGTGAAAGCTTTTAGAACATCATTAAAGAACCATTCGGTAAAACAGAGAATGTTTTAGCTTCAACTCTCCTTAAAAATCTTTTTCATTGATAAAGTTTGATAAGAAAAGATAGCTAAATAATGTTTGAAACGTATTTAAAGTATCAATAATTTTCACATTCGGATCAAAATAATGTATAATAATGACTTACCAATTCGGCGCAAGGCACAGGATTCTCGACAGCAAATGAACGATTCGTCCGTTATCGCACGTGCCGCAATTCTCAACTTATCTGCCATGCGAAGAACGTCACGTTTGATGTTGCGTATCCGATGCACGTGTGACGCTTGTTTATAAATCTTAAATTAAAATACATGCACGCAAAGTACATTAACCTCGGTGCACATTGTGTTCCTCGCAGGTACATATATTTCGACATATGTTACGTGCAGGATATGAGAAAAAAGAAAGAAAGAAAAAGAGAAGACACGAAGCCTTCGTAATAGAAGGTGTCGGAACGTCGACGAGCACGCTGTCGAATGGATTAAAATGATCGTCATGCAGTTACGAGGTCGATTCCCTTCAATCGATTAAAATGGTAAGTGGAATTAATCGTTCGTTCTTTTTCTACACCATATAATTGTACTGTGAAAAAAAAGGCTGATGACATCCCGGCGCAATAACGATTAAAATAACGACCGTCGCAAATCTCAATAAAAGCAAATTAATGCACCGTAATTAATGCAGAAGTAATTAGAAGAGGTTTGTTTGGTCGATTTCATCGGTTAACTTCAGCTGTGGTTTAATTTACTTTTTTGTCCTTCTCTTACTCCTATTTCAAAGAGGATAAATAAATTAGGATCGGATATTAAATCCGACTGACGTTCAAATATCTAGACTTCGTTATTTTTATAACAATCATATATCGTTGATCATTGTCATCGGGACTCCTCTATATGAATTTCTCGCGGCAGTCAAGATACATATTGAAGTTACACCTATATTCAAGGAAATAGCGAAAAAATAATGAAAAAAGAAAGCACGAATGCAGATATTTGTGAAGCGACTCACGGAGTTTCGAGCAGAAATTTCGACTATCCGGAAATTAATATCCGCTTTTATCGCCTCCCGCACGGTTTCTCTCCACCGTTCCCTTAATCCACGAGCGCGACGGACATCCGGTGGATCTCTGGCGAACACGATAATATGTACGTACGACCCGTATTGCAGGTGCTACTCTCCGCATCCGCTGCACGCCGTAATAACATCGTATATGCGAGGTACGTATCGATTTCTCAGCGGAGGGATGACGCGCGTGCTGGTCGACGATGCAATGCTCTCCCGCGGTGTGCCAGTATAAAATTAACGTTGTGTCACCCCTAAGCGATATTATTCCCCCTATCTAATCGACATTACCTCGTAATTCGCAATTCGTTGTGTTAGCACCTCGCGCGGGCGCGTAACACCGTCGTCATATCACGGACGGCGGCCGGCATCGCCCCCTCGCAACGCCGATCTTGAATACAACCTGCATCGATCGATCAATGCAGGTCTAAGAACAAAAAAGGGACGCATACCGCGATCGCTCACGGCACGTCTCTTTCGTGCGCCTTATGCGTGTAAGTCTTTCGTAATTGTTAATTTTTACGAGGCTTACTCGTGTGAATATCTTTGCTTTCACCCTCGGCAAAATTCCACTAAAATTCCATTCGCGTTTACGGTAACATCACAATTTCGCCGACTTCGATTAGTTGTAATTTCGATTGTAATCCTCTGATGCAACATAAATTTCCTATCTTATTTAGAATTTCTGTATAATTAGGATAACAAGTCAACCTTGTAGCTCCTATGGCGTAATCTAATCAAGCGAGTCTTACAGAATGAGTAATGGAGTGGAGTGGATACTAACAGTGATAAACAAGTAGCTTACATGAGATTGAAATCACAGTTGGCTTTGAGCTGTTCTAACGTACTTAGAGGGAATTATAAAAAGTAATTTTTGTGCAAAGATTCAAATTAAGAAAAATTGACTCAAATCGGATTAAATTAATCGTAATTACAATTTCAGAATTATATAATTTAAGGCCTATTTATTATGTATACAAAAATGTGCTTCTATAGATACTTTATATCAAGTATTTGTAATAATCAAGCGATTTGTAAAAAGTTTTATTATGACGCGTACGAATAATTTTATTAGTTTTGTTAAAAAATGAAGCAAAAATTTTTACAAAAAACAATAAAAGTTCAGCAGAACCCATTACGAAACTTCTGGAAATTATTATGAAATCCAGAATGAAATTAGAGTCGTGTCCGCGAAAAGCAAAATTGTACAGAGCTATGTGCAAAATCTCTACAACCCCTAACGCGCATCAGAGGATCATGAGGTTTCTGGTCTGTTACTAAACGGGACCATAATCCGAAAAGAGATAGCGAATCGTTTGTCCGGGACCAGTTAAGCCAAACCGTCGGTGCGAGCGCGAGCTTTGAAATTCACTTCGTGGTCCTCAATCGGACCGATATTGTCACCTTCCTCGATGAGAACGTAAAGCTTATTAGTCGCGTTAATTCTATCACCGCACTCCGAGAACATTCCTGAATCCGGACGAATTCGGCGAGGCGAAATCTGCCGTGCGGTTGTCGACGTGGCGAGTTCGCGAAACGGATGAGGACTTCCACAAGCTAATTAGATCCCTCGCCGTCGTCAACGATGGTGTCATACTCTTTGTTTCTCATGCTCACGAGACTTTCCTAGGATCATTTACACATCACCGTTGTTGCTGTCCTGCAGTCAACCGTGTGAATATCTGGGCGAGCGGTGTGCCATTGCGATGATCTCTCTCATGAAATTTTTCCTCTTTCAGGTCTTGTTCCCACGAGGATCAACAGTGATTCGATTTGAATCGCTGTTTCTCCTCGTATATCTATCATCCTCGATCGTCGTACGTTATCATGGCTGGTGCCCTCCCCGTCGGGCACGAGCGACGGCCCCGTTATCGAACCGTCACAATAATAGCGTATGTCATAGTTAATAGGAAATTGTCGTTGATACGTGTCGCGTGTAAATGATGCGGGTGTGTTCGCGTGAGTGTCCGTTTCGGTGGTGGCCTTATTGTTGCCGGCGTTTTGACGTTTCTGTCGAGTTCTATGAGGGAGTCGGTGTGGGGCGTGGTGTCCTTTACGATTGCGCGTCGACGGCTCGTGCGGAAGTGCGGCGACGTCGGGATTAAGGAGCGAGCATCTTCGATAGCTCCTCGTCCTGGAGGCAGCCCTTCAGGAATTCTTCCTGCGTCAGCTGCCCATCGTTGTTCTCGTCCATCTTCGCGAATATGTTCTTCGCTCTTTCCTCCGCGCTGTCTGCCGGCCTATTGCTCGAACATGCGCCAAGCATGTCGTATATCGCCTGGAAACAGAACAGAACACTTTGTTTCCCCACGTTGTATTCAGGCTCACATAGAATCAATGCATCATCCACCCGTCACACGTTTGGAAAACCAGTCTATTTGGCATATCCGATACAAAGGATAGTTTTGCATCAATACCTTGGAGCATTGAACGATCGACATCGTTTTCCGATGAGAGAAGAAATGTTCTCTCTTTTCGATTCATAAAATGATATCAATCATTCTCGTTCCAAAGTACTGATACATTTACAATTGGTATTCATCACAATTCGTAAAAGATCTCGAAGTTTAATGTAATAAAGTAGATTTATATATAGTAGAGATGTGCGAATCAAGCATTTGTAAAGTCGAATCAAATGGAAACAAATATATGATAGTATGTTCGAAAATTAATTAAATTACGAATTTGAAATTGAATCAAATAAAATTTTATTTAAAAGCGAATCAAATTTAAATAAATTTTTTTCGGATTTACATTAAAAGTAATTTTGAGTAATAAAATATTTTTAACAACATTCCAGATTTTTTAAAATAAGGAAAATTAATCGATTTTAATTTACAAGTAAAATCAAAAGTAACCATTCTCTAATAAAAAATAAATGTCTTATTTCTGGTATTATTGTAACAGGCTGCATTCAGAAGTCAGAGCAGTTCAGTTCAACGAATCTTTAATATGATTAGTCTTTACTTTCAGTTCTTTACTGACAATTGTGAATCTAAGGATATAAATCAATCATCAATCAATCATAATAAAAAATCAATGAACGACTTTGTCTTTTCAACGCAACCAATAAATCCAATGATAATCATCGATACACGATGGACATAAACAATTGCATGCACATTTACGTGAGAATTGGTACACCCAGAACCAATGATTGGTCGTCCGGATGGTTTAGGAGAAAAATGTGCATAAATGAGGAAAATAAAATAGGCAATTCATTCAAAATCAAACCATCGATGATTCAAAATTATTCGATTTCGAATCTCTTGAGTCTACTATCATTCAATTCGATTCGAATTCGAATTATTCACACATCTCTATTAGATAGCATCTTTTTATAATTAAACATTTTAATATATTTTTCTCTCAGTTTATAGAAAATCACGAATTGATGTAGCAAGGTTAATGCAGTTTTAGCTTATGACTTCTCACGTACTTAATACATCAGTTAAATTTTGCACGTGCGTGTGCATTGTGTACATTTAACTTTCATTAAACAGAGGGTCTATATCGATTTTAATTATGTCGCAATGTACATGTAGGTATCATATCCCTTATCAGAACTTAATGAGATGAAACATACGTATTTCAGCGGATATTACATATTTCCAATACAAAATAATTAAAAAGAAATATAAAAATATCTTTTAAAATCAAAATATATTTATAGGTTTGTTTCTTGTCAAAAATACTATTCTTCGTAAGAAAATAAAAAGATAAATAAAGTAGAAGTGCAGATTTACGTATCATGCATTTTAAACGCAATAAAGTCGTAAATCATGAAAACCACGAATACAACCTTCATGTCACGTTTTTTCAAACGAAAGTCCGTCCTAAATCCATCAAGATGGAAGGTTACCGAGGCATACAAAAACGGTACCTGATTAATGAGCATTCAATTGCGACCACCAATGAGCTTCTTTCGTTCTATGTACATAAATTGCTTAACTAGAGAAATACGTTCCATGCACTTATTTATAACGTAAGCAATACCTTTACATAATAAAAAGTACACCATTTTTTAATAAAAATTTAGAAATAAAGGTTTAAAAGTTATGTACCCCTAACAAAACCTAGGCATATACTATATTACGATTTTATATAACTTTTAATTTATTCATTTTGTGTAGTTATCTTTATATAAAATCAGTTTTTAATATATTATATTAATATATTTTAAGATATAATTATCTTATTAAAAAATTACTAAATGAGTTTTTTTTATACGAATATTATTTCGATATTGGT